TGTGGTGCTGGGGGATTGAACCGTGGTCCCTGTGCTTTGCTAAGCTTGTTCTAAGTAGGTGCTTTAGACCACTGAGCCATCTCACCAGCCCTAATGTGTATTTTTGCATATGAAGGAATTCAGGTCCTAATTGCTTTTTTGGTTTTGTTTTTATCTGATGGAGAGCCTCTAAGATCATCTGGGTATTACTTGGCTTTCCTTTTCTGGAACAGAATGCCTTATATCTGCAAGTTAAAGGAGGAAAGGGTTATTTTGAAGTCTCACAGCTTCAGAGGCTTCAGTCCGAGAACAGCTCCCCAGCTGCGTGCACTGGGAAGGAGAGGCAGGGAGCAGCTGCGGAAAGGTGAACCCTTCAAGGCAAGCCCTAGTGATTTGCTTCTAGGCCCCACCTTCTAGCAGCTTGTTCAGCCATGAATTTCTCAGCAGATACATCCATTGTTGAAGCTAGTGCCCCATGACCTGATCACCTTCCAAAGCCCATCTTCTGAACACACGACTTTTGAAAAAATCCATACCGTAACTGTGTTGAATCTTTGTTCTTTCTTGTTTTGAGAGGCTGTACTTTACTTGAGATGTGACTAGGATTATGCTATGTTCTCTTGTAAGTTGGAGCTTATTTTTCTGTTTGTTGAATTTCCTTTTTTTTTTTTTTAATGTATTTAGTACAGGGTCTACAGGGTCTTACTACACAGATTGGACTTGTCTTGATCCTTCTGTTGTCAGCCTCCCAAGTGCTGGGATTATAGGTGTGCATGAATTTCCTTTCTTTTTGCTAAGTTCTTTTTTTTTAAAAAAAATGTACTTAGTACAGGGTCCACAGGGTTTTACTACACAGATTGGATTTGTGATTCTTCTGTTTTCAGCCTCCTAAGCGCTGGGATTATAGGTGTGTGCCACCACGCCCAATCTTAATCACCATCTCAGCACACCCTGGGGGCAGGGCTGGCATGGTACCTGGCCGCAGTGATCTGCCTAAGCAGGCACTTTTTACTAAGTTCTAGCACAAATTTCTCTACGTAGAAAATGAATGTTGGGCCAGGGAGACAGCTCAGCAGCACAGCGCCTGCTTCCTGGCAAGTGCAAGGTCATGAGTCTGACTCCTGGTTTAAAAAAAGAAAGAAAGAAAGAAATGGAAAATGAATGCTGTATTTCTGCTAATTTAGGAAATAGCTGAGTATAGAAGGAGAGGGTAGAAATTGAGGGAGGGAAAAGGTGGAATGTTACCTGCAGTGGGTTTAGCAAAGGCACAGAGAGCAAAGAGTTTAGGTATGAACACTTGGCTGCTTTTTGTTTGCAGCCATAATGAGTAGTTTTATTTTTATTAGTAGCAGTATAGGGGTATGAATTGATGTCCTGTTTAGGCACACAAAACTTTTTCTTAAAATGTATTTGGTGCAGAGTCTACAGGGTCTCACTACACAGATCAGACTCATAGTGATTCCCCTGTTTTCAGCCTCTCAAGCGCTGGGATTACGGGCCACCACAGTCTCAAGTGCTGTCTTATTGTTTCCCTGGGATCGAACCCTTAATCCACTGAGCTATCTGGAAAACTTATTTTTTACAAAACTCTTTAAAATAATTATATTTAGCATATAGTTTTTACCCTGCTCTGAAGGTGTTTGCAATTCAGTTGAGAGATACTGCCTTCAAAACATTTACATTCTGGGGATTAGACAAAAGTTAAAGAGCAATACTGTATATCTTTGTGTAAATGATTCTTTCCTGTTGTCCTACTGTCTGCAGTAGTGCTTGGCATATAGTAGATTTTTAGTAAGTATTGGTTAGATGGGTAAATAAATGGTGTTGATGGTAAGCATGGGGGATCCTTTGGGAGATGTGGCATTTGGAGAAATCCTGAGATCTTGTGCAGTGTAAAGGAGAAGTAATTTCATTCTGTTTGGCCTGTGTTTCCAAATCCTCTGACTTCAGTATTTTCTACTCCCCCTCTTTAAATCCCTAAACAGGTTTCTTCCTTTTTATAACTTGATGTTTTCCTTTCAAAAGCCTGATCTTGCTCACATTTATATTGCCACTGCTTTGGCCATCTTATTTCTTCCTGTCCTCTCCCTACAGCTTTTCTGCTCGTATCCTAGTATTTAGGGGGATCTTATTTTGGTTTATAAGAAAACTGTGTTTTCTTAGGTCTTTGGGGAATGTTTTAGGTTGTGAGTTACTGTCTGGCAAAGAATTTAGTTAGCAGAAGTTCAGAAACATTTTACAGCCATTAAAAGGAAAACTGTGGGGTAGGTGATATCTTAAAACAACATGGCAATTCTTGAGCTACACTTTCTTTCATGATGTTATAACTACACCCTAATTGGCTGCATTTTTTTAAAAAACAAATTAAGCTACCAGTTATATTCTCCACCCTCCTCAGTTTTGGCTGTATAAAGGCCTGTTTCACAGAGAAGAACACATAAACAAGTAAGCACAAGGACGCTTATATGAATGAAGTTGTGCTGCACAGCCCAGTGACTTTCCTTGATTTAAGATGTAGCTCTTGGCAACTTATAATAGTTTTGTGTTCTTTGAGGGAGAAGTTCAGCCTATTTAACAGTGTTTAATCAAAAGTACCCCTGAACTATCTCCCCAGCCCTTTTGCTAGGAAGTTGGAGATAGGAAAAATTAAAGTTAACCTAATATTAAAGGGCATATCATGTATAAAGATAATCATAATGGTGTATAGAAATTGATGGGTGATTTAAAAGAGTGCTTGGGGAATTTTAAAAATGGAGTTGTTTCTTCTAGAGAGGGCCATTCAGGGTAAGCTTACTGGGTATAATAGAATATGAACTGGTCCTGTTGGTTGAGGACAAGGTCCCTGCACAGGCAGGATGGGCTCTGTGCTGTGTGAACTGTTGGCCCTTCTGAGCAGAGGATGTGGGCCTGCAGAAACGGGAAGGGTGAGAGGAGAAACAGCAGCTGGAAGTAGGAAAACATTGTCTATATGGGCAATAGAAAGTAGTTTTGAGTTTGATGGTGGTAATGCGAAGTGTCACAAGATAGGGATGGAAAGGAAGGGTGGAGCACACTATCTGACAGATGGGGTACACTGTGAATTGAAGGCATGGATTGAGTTTAGGTTATTTGCCTAGTTGGTATTTCATGTACCATTGTTCTTGTCCTCTGAGAATTAATATTATGGTAGGGAAAAAAGAACTTGGTAAGGCACAGCATGGCAGTGCACACCTGTGACCCAACTTGGAAGGCTGAGGCATGAGGATTATGAGTTTGAGTCCAGTCTAGGTGACATAGTAACACCTTGTCTCAAAAAATTGAAATGGGGCTGAGGAGATAGCTCGGTGGTCTAAGCACCTGTCTGGCAAGCTCAAGGACCCGAGTTTGATCCCTGGTACCGCAAGCCATGCCAGCCTGAAACTGGGTGTGGTGTGCTCGCCTATAATCCCAGCATTGGGGAGGCTGAGATAGGAGGATCCCTATGAATCTGAGCTGTGTAGCGAGTCCCTGTACCAAATGAATGAACGAACGAACGAATGAATACATAAATCTTTTTTAAAAAATTGAAATAAAACAAAAAAGATAAAACAACAACAAACTTTTCTGCCTAAATAAGCTAGAGAATCCAAGAATAGGGAAGGAGAATGATCTTTAAATTGATTCTTGTGAGACTTAGTTTTGTTTTTATATTACACACAGTGGATGTTTAAGTGTTTTGTAGTCTCTGTTAAAATTTGTTGTAGCTTTTGTGCCAATGTCTGCATGATAATTGAGCCACAGTCTATTGGGCTGGTTTTACTCCCCACCTTCAGTCCTCAAATGGCTCTCTATCTTAGATAATGGCAGTATTTTTTCCCTTCCTGCTGAATTAACTATTTAGGGCACAGTAAAGGGTTCTTAAAAGACTGTCAGGATGATACTGTGGGGCAGATTGTTAATTATGTGGTACAGTAGATGCCCTGTGTTTCTGTTCCATTGAGATAGAGTTGGATATATTTTACTTGTGTCTTTTTTCACTTCATTTTTTCATTCTCATCCACTAGTAGTATTGGGTGTTTCCAAGGTTTGAGGGATCTTAGACCACCTGGTTCACTTTTCCGTGCCTTAAAGTGTTTTCATGTGCAAAGCACTGTGTGCCAGAGACAAAGTATGTTACATATAGTAAGTAATCCGTGGTTATATGTCTAGTAGGTAACAAGCAATAATTTGAACCCAGGCCACCATTACAAAATACTAAATAGTATGATTTTTCCCATTTGGAATTTCTTCCTTTGCAAAAGTGTGCTAATTCCTATTTCCTTTGTTTAGTTAAAGATATTTCTCCTTCTCTATAAAGAAAAGAGAGAAAGGTCTTTTTTAATTGTTCAGAGGTATTATGGCAAAGAGTGTCCAAGTATTTATTGTTTTGGATTTGTATTACTAGGTTATTTGTGGTGAAAATTTGACATATGTTGTAGCCATAAATCTGCTGTTATTCTGATGGGTTTTCCTTTAAATGTAATCTGTTTCTTTTCTCTAGTAGCTTTTAGTATACTAGTATTCTAGTATTCCTGTGCTGAATTTCTGGCATCTTAATTATTATATGTCTGGATGTGATTTTAATTGGGCCTAAACAGTAGGCCCAATATTTTTACCCTATGAATACTAATTACCTAAGAAATCATGGCGTTTAAGTATGTTAGATAATTTCTGTAAATTTTTCCCCACAATAACGTGAATTTAAATATATTTCTTTGCTTTGTTTTCCATGTTTGTTATAAAATTCATATTTCTTTTACATTCATATTTTAAAATTCATACTGATAGTCAGACAACCTATTATTGGAGGTAATCCTTCATGTGAACTTCGGCCATAGTTAGTCAAAAGTGGACTGTTAGTGTTGGAGCCTCATAGAGTGCATAAATTTCCTGGGAGGAAACGATAATAAAATATTCAGGAAGTTATTAGGAAATGAGTACTTGTGTTTGTGTTCAGTCAGATAAGCTGCTAAGGTCTTTGCATAAATCAAAACAGTCTGTTTTAGAGGAAGGAATAAGAGATTCAGCATCTCCTAATCCTGTTAGAGACCTTGAACTATGGAATGATGGAATGTATGATGCATAAAGGAAAGAAAAATTTCTAAAGCAAAGTCGTTTGAAAATTGACACTCCCTTTGGTGTGTGTATATTAATTTGAGAAAATAATATTAAAAGTATTTGTTTCAGGGAAGAAAATGGAGAGTTTTCTACAGCAAAGGAACCCAGTGGGAAAACCTGGTCCTATGCGGTAGGAGTTGATGGCAGTAGCAGAGGAGTGTGTACTTCCTTTTGGGTTCTACCAGTTTTTTCTCTCAATTCTTTTTTTTCTTTTTTGTCAATGGAAAATGGAAATATACTTTTAAAGTTTCTAATACTAGGAGAAAATATACCATGTCTTATGAGTAGATTATAAGTCAAAATTAAAATTAAGCAATATTCAGAAAATTAATTAAATGTTAATTAAAAATTAAATACTTTAAAATAATATTCAAAAATTAAAATTAAATTGTGAGTCCAATTAAGAGGCCAGAATATAGTGTATCATATGTATGAATCTGTGATCAATTCAGAGTACTCACACAGTATAGATTAGTCTATACAGAAGTATCAACTAAGAAAAAGTTTTCATGATAGTAAAGAATTAAGAATAAAACATAACAAAAATACTGGAATGGCAAATTTATGACCAGCACTTAAACAGTTTGGGGATAGGATATCGTACAAAGTTCTAGTATGTGGTAGATGTAGACAGTGTCCATGACACTTACTGGTGGCCAGGTGTCACTTGTGGGACTGAGCTACTGCTATTTTCTTGATATCCACCCTGTAGACCCAGACGGAATCATGACCCATTGGGTGCAGAAGTCCATTTTTGGAGTATGCTGATGGAAATATTTTGCCGCTGTATACAAAAGCATAATTGAAAGACTTTTTGTATACCTCTTTTTCTCCTGTGTTTAATTGTTTGCACTATTTGATGGGTTCTTTCCATTTTCATTCATTGAGTTGTGGTCATTTTGATCCCTCTCTGGAATGTGTTTTAATAGTCTGTATAGGGTTGGCTTTGTCGTCATGAAATTCTTTAGTTGTTCTTTGTCATAGAAATATTTTACTTCTCCATTAAACTTGAAAGAGTTTTGTAGGGTATATTAGTCTGGGTTGGAATTTGTTTTCTTTTCTTTCTTTCTTTTTCTTTTTCTTTTTTGAACTTGTTTTCTTGCAAGACTTATAGTGCTTTGCTCCATGCTCTTCTTGACTTGATGGTTTGTGAAGAGAAATCTGCCATTATTCTGATGGGTTTTCCTTTTAATGTGATCTGTTTCTTTTCTCTAGCGGCTTTTAGTATACTGTTCCTGTGCTGAATTTCTGGGATCTTGATTATTATATGTCTGGATGTGGTTTTAATTGGGTTGATGTTATTTGGACTTCTATATGCTTCGGTTATTTGAATATCAGATTGTTTCCCCATATTTGGGAAATTTTCTACTATCACTTCTGCGCATATTCTTTTTCTATCATTTGTATCGACTCCTTCTCATTGATGCCTATTAGTCTTACGTTGTTCATCTTTGCATTGTCTTGCAGATGTTGAATTATTTTTTCCTGCATCCTAGTTTTTAAGAGATCTTTTCTTACCTTTTCACTAGCTGCAACGATGTCTTCAAGGTCTGAAAGTCTTATTTTCACTTTCATCAAAACGGTTTTGCCAGCTTGTGATTGAGGTTTTAATTTCCTGTATAGCACTTTGAATCTGCTTCATGCAATGTTTCTTTCCTATATTGCTCATTCAAGGATTCCATCATTTTTCTATTCTCTATTTTTTTTTATCAGTGTCTTCCGTAGAAGCACTTAGTACTTTTATTATAGTTATCATTTCTTTTTTATTTCAGAAATTATTTCTCATTTGATTTCTTCTATACCTTTCTGCAGTTGTTTCTTTACTTCAGACGCTATTCTTTCAGAGATTTCAGTTGTGTGCTTTCCAATTTCTTCTATGTTATTGTCTCCTGCATTTTTTTCTGGGTGGGCTGAGGGCCTAAGAATGCATTTTACATCTTCTCTTTGTCATCTTGTATAGCACTGCCTTCTGACCTTTGGTGTAGGGCTTTGGTAGTGTTATTACCTTAGCACCAGGTCTGGATCTACCAAGTTCAAACTCCTGCAGGTGGGTGTGGCTTGGGTCTAGCTGCTGTACTCTACTTCTTCCTGCTGCAGCCCTTGGAAGTGGACCCGCTGTGCCACTCAGGCAAGATGTTCTGCTCCTGGATCAGCTGGGTGGGGCTAGCCTCTAGCCTCTCTGCAGTGAGTTCTGCCACAAGGTTCCACACCAGGCCTCTCTGATGGAGGAAGTTCCGCACACATGCCTGGTCTGGCCTGGGTGCTGGCTGGAATGAGGATCTGGTGGTTCAGCAGGCCGTTCTCCCCGCTCACAGTGACACTGGGCCTGGGTGCTGACTGGAATGAGGATTTCCCTCAATGTTTTACTTTGCTTTCTAGTTACCACTAGATAATTTGGCTTTGTCCTTAATATTAAGACCTTTTGTTCTGAAGTAACTGTGACACTGTTTACCCAGTGGTTCTTTTCTTTCATTGAGATTGGTGTCCTGTTTGATTTGTTTTATTTAACAGAGAGGCTTATGTTTTCTTCAGAAGCTGCTCCCCACATTTTATCTGTTTCAAACGCCACAATGCTTGGAGCAGGCTTGGCTCCTGGTGCAAGTTGGCTGACTTCTACTTGTAGTTAAGGTAGATCTAGTGAGTAGTTGGAAAGCCACCAGGAATGGAGAACTGGTGATGAAGATCAGCCATTGACCAGCATATATAAAGGGGTCCTTTGCTGAGTATCAGAGGCTATGCCTGCTATTCTTGAGAACATGGACCCAAAAGAGGCAGATGTGGGCAGAGCTGGAGAAAACATGATAGAGGGGTAGGTATGCTGTAGCCAAGATGGTGGTGATATTAGAGTGATCTCCTAGGATTTACAGGATACATTTGCATTTAGTTTCCAGTAGTGTTTTAAAATAGAGTTATCCCAAGATAATGTATTTCATCTGGAAAGTTTTGGAATTTTAGAATCATTTTATTGAAAAATTGGACATGCCAGTCCTAGCCCAGGTCTGGTGAGTGTGTGGGAGAGCTTCCTGCTACCCTGTGCCGGCGGGACCAGTCCCAGCCCAGGCAAAACGTGGGCCAGACCCTCTCCCACCCCCTTGGGACGCCCCCCACCACTCCGCAGCACCTCCCCCACCCTGCCCGCCGAGTAGGAATTTCTGTCATGTTCCGGGAACCCCTAGACCCAGTCCTAGCCCAGACCCAGTGAGTGTGAGGGAGAGCTTCCTCTCCCCCCTACTCCAACTTGCCCCCTCCAGGCACAGCTCAGGCCTGGCATACATGCCTGGGGTGTAACCCTGCAGCTGCAATCCCTGCAGAGAGTGTAGAGGAT